GAGTCGGTGGTTCGGTTAGATTCTAAGATGAAGACATGAGCTAGAACGCTTCTGCAGCCCCCCTAAGTATGTGCCAGGCTTCGGCCTTGACTTTTCCATTCATCAAGATTCTCTGACGCAAACTGGTTCTTTTTCATCAACCAACTTCAGCAAAGATCCACGTGAGCCTTCAGATTGCATCAAGCCTTTCTTTCAGACAGACGAGACGTGCAAGTATTCAAACTTAGTCTTATTAATTGATACATTAGGTATCATTTGCACCTTTTTACAAAGGTGTGTTTGAACTAAGAATCTGATGTTTCCTTCAGGTGTAAATCTGCTGAATATCAAATGGTACCATAGTTTCATATTCTTATTTCTCTTTTCTTTACTGCGTTAAGCTTTAACCCTTTCCTATACCAACTGTATGCGTGTGTGTGTGTGGGTGTGTGTGTGTATGTGTATGTTAGACCAGTTTAAGTGTTTATGTAGTATGTTAGACTAGTTTAAGTGTTTATGTAGTTAATAAAGTCTTATTTGTATCACACTTGTCATTGTTCATTGTTTGCTCATAACTGGAGTCACTTAATCATGCAGATTTATGCTACAAGCTCTGTGTAACAGTAAGATTTCCTTTAACCAGGAAATTAACATTCTTAGAATTGACAGACAGTTGACCCTGAGAGTTCAGCTAAATATCTACAGCGGGTCTAAATATTTATAATTAATTATAACTAGTTATGATTAATTATTCATATTTCCCCATGAGCTGATTCGCTACAAATGTAACGAATTAATTAATTTAGCAGAGGTATTGGAGAAGGGCCTCACGGGCCAGCAGCCTCTTAGGGCATGGAAGCACGCTCACACTAGTGGGCCCCGAGCAGGCTCTGGTAATGGAACAAGATGTAGACACTCTCTTGAAGAAGGAGGCCATAGAACATGTTTCTCCTCTCGAGAGAGAGTCTGGGTTCTACAGCCGATACTTCATCGTTCCGAAGAAGGATGGGGGGTTGCGTCTGATCATAAATTTGCATCTGCTGAACTGCACTATCAAACGGTTTCGGTTCAAGATGCTGTCTATCAAACAAAGTGTTCCTCCTCTTAAGAGAGAGTCAGGGTTTTACAGCCGTTACTTCATCATTCCGAAGAAGGATGGAGGGTTGCGTCCAATCATAGATCTGCATCTTTTGAACCGTGCTATCAAACGGTTTCAGTTCAAGTTGCTCACTATCAAACAGATTGTGTCTCAAATCAGGTCCGAGGACTGGTTTGTCACGATAGATCTCAAGGATGCATACTTCCACGTATCCTTCCTTCCTCAACACAGGAATTTCCTGAAGTTTGCTTTCGGGGGCGAAGCATACCAATATCGGGTTCTTCCCTTTGGCCTGTCACTCTCACCCCACACCTTCACCAAGTGTGTGGATGCTGCCTTGGCTCCTCTGCACTCTAGGGCATTCGCATACTGAATTACATCGATGATTGGTTGATATTAGCTTAGTCAGAGCACATGGCGGTTCGGCATTGAGATGTTGTCCTCACCCATATAAAAGAGCTGGGGTTGAGGCTGAACGCCAAGAAAAGTGTGCTTTCTCCAGCACAAAGAACCCCTTATCTGGGCGTGGTGTGGGATTCGACCACGATGCAGGCACATCTGTCTCCTGCTTGGATCGAGTCAATCCTCACAGCCGTAAAGAGAGTGAGAGAAATCCAGTCACTCACTGTCAAACAGAGACTATTAGGTCTGATGGCAGCTGCATCCAACGTGATACCTTTTGGTCTGCTGTACATGAGGCCTTTGCAGTGGTGGCTCAGGACAAAGGGGTTTTCGCCGAGGGGCAACCTACTTTGCATGTCTAAGGTACGTAAGCATCGCCACGTGACCTTGATCATGCGAAACGGGTTGCCCCTTGGGGTACTGGGGGCTCCTTGTTGTCACGTAACGCTAACGATGGACGCCTCCCTCACAGGCTGGGGAGTGGTCACGAGTGGTCACTCTGTCCAGGGTCTGTGGGAAGGCCACCATCTCACGTGGCACATAAATTGCCTGGAGATGCTGGCTGTGTTTCAGGCATTGAAACACTTCTTTCCAGACCTGAGAGACCATCATGTGCTTGTCCGCACAGACAGCACATCAGTGGTCTCCTACATCAACCACCAGCAGTAGCTGAGCAGTAGCTGGTATTTCCGGTTCCTGTCTGCTGTGCTACTTAGTATTTTGCAGATTGTGTCAAAGCAACTGTACAGCATTAATTAGGACAATAGTGTGTCATTAATGCAAAATTACAATGGTAAACACTCAATTTTCAGTTAAAGGCAGTTCATCATTGAATTCAGTGATGTCATCATCCAGCTCAGTTCAGTTTAAATAGTATCTGTGCAATCAAGCCGACCA